ATCACAAACAAACAAACACGAACGCATATTTCATCCAGTCGATTTGCATTTCAAAACCGTGTCAACTAACTGGCATGCAAATGGCGAAAATGTAACACTTGCTTTACTGTATGTGACAACAATCCTAAACCGCAACACAACTGAACAATACTCTCAGGTACCAATACAAAATAACACAATATTGAGGTAGCTACTTCTCTGTTAATATTAAAAAAAAGTCTTCATTTCGGACAAGGCGCGTATTTTGATTGGGTGTAAAACAGCACGCGTCCTATTTTAGTTTTATGTAGTTGATATTGTCATACTTTATTTTTGTTGTCATACTTTATTTTTAGTTCATATTGTTATTAATCGGTTATTAATGGATCATTAAGGTTGATACAGGCTTTTTGTCGGTTTTGTTATTGAGTAATTAAAATTATTTCACTTCCTCAAAGGCAAAGCATTCATTCGGTTTGAATCTTTAAATTAAAACACGTGTATCTGTGTTTTACTGCTTCATTGACATTGGCATTTCAAGCGAGACGGTCGATACTCGCTCGAATGTTTCTCGCTCGAACGCGAAACGCACTCGATACTTGATGTATAGTTTCTGTTTGACGGTACTGTACAGTATGTGTACCTGAACGTAACATAATGGTACAAGCTCTTAACAAATCGCTGGCCAAGTATCACCTTACGGCAGCTTCCATTGCTTTGCTATTCTTATCCAGGTATGTCTTGTCTGTTTCAGTTGCTACTAAAGGACCATGCTGGCAATCTCCGTCTATCCACTCATGTTCACCTGCAATGTGATGTAGCACTCCGAACCAGTCATCCTTAAAATTAAATGGAATATAATAGTTGCATGTAAATAACTTGTATGTTATTTGCTGTGATGGTGTAGTGTACTCAGGTGAATAAGATGCTTGTGATGTTACTCTTAGTGTAGATATACACTCAGAGTAACATCACAAGCAACTTGTATGTTGTCAAATTAAGTCAAAAAAGAAATCTTATCAGATAACAAAGATACCAAATAAAACAAGAGTAACCTTAAGTTTCTCTTTGTTCCCATTAGAATTCTGACAAACAAACCGAAAATGGTTCCTGATTGGTTCAGACCACTGGCTCACTGTTTCACACCCTTTAACTTTGGCACCCTAAAATAATTATGTTGAAATAAAAAATGACAGAAACGTTTTACTGAAATGTACTTTAATGAACTATTGATAGCTCAATGAGGGGCCTCCCAGCACATCTGATGTGGTCACATCATAAGCTGCAAGCTGTTTTAAGATTTGCCCCAGCAAATTTACAACCAATTTTTACCTTAGCAAGTTTCTTGGTAAGTTTGACTGACTTGTGCCAAATATCCAAGGCGTGAAATAGATGGGAAAAATCGTCTGGGTACTTGTCTGGGAAAACAAGACAAAACAAATTGTGCTATTAGAATTTCATGGTACTTTTATGGCTAAATTTTTCAACATCATAATCAGGGCTCAAAATAGCGGGCTGTCAATGGCCAAAAGCAGATTTGAACTGCAAAGACAAGTAAAAAACAATGGCAGGTGAAAATCTATAGATCTATATATTTCATTTCATTTGCTTACCACAACTCATATATAAAGAAAGAAAGAAAGAAAGAAAGATTTATTATGCACATGATATTAGTATATTTACAAGTTATCTGTTGAAATTATAAAACTGAAGAATTATTACATATTTATGTTATTATAGACTTAGATTGGATGTGCGCAGTAGCCAAAGTAGCGTGAGCTTTCGAGTTGGCTACTGCGTGTTAATAATTTTACATGGAATATAATAGAAAGTAGAAAATCGTTATGGCAAAGTAATCATATCAATATTTAGCTTCTAATTCATAATTTGACAAGTAGGTTAAGACTATATCAGGCAGGATAGGAGGGACTGTTTGTACTGTACTTTAAAGGCTTCAATATTTAAATGTTTTAAATAAGGTGGAATACAATTCCACAGCTTCGAGATAATAAATTTGATGGTGGATTGACCATAATTAGTTCTTACTTTTGGCCGATAGAAATTGCCACTGGCAGACAGTCTAGTATTATAGCTGTGAATATCAGATATTGGTGTAAGGTAATCATGAAATATGTATGGAAATTTCAATGAATCACTTGACAGTTTTTTTGCAAATGTAGCAATTTTAAATTTCACAATATTGTCAAAATTGAGTATTCCAAGAAGTTTATAGTAAGTAGTTGCTGACTCCATATGATTTGCGAAGAAAATACTACGTATACATTTATTTTGTTTAGTACGAATCTTGGTTAAATTAGTTGTATACGCGCTACCCCAGCTCATAACACCATAAGTTAAATAAGGGTAAATAAGGTTATAGTAAAGTTGCTTTAATATGTAAATGTTAGATAAATGACGTAATTTATAAAAAATGCCAATATTTTTGGCTAATTTACTATTAACATGAGCAATTTGGCTTTTCCAATTGAGATGTTCATCGAGATATATACCAAGATACTTAATACAGTTTTTACGTTCGATATTAGGAATGTTGATATTAATGTGCTTTTTGTTACTTGAAGTTATCACCATAAAATTGGTCTTGTTCATATTAATAGATAATTTATTGAGAGCACAGTAGTCGTAGAATTTTTTTAGCTCACGATTTATTACTATTTCAAGTTCAGTGGGGTCTTTATTTACATAAAATATGTTAGTATCATCAGCAAATAGACGAAAAGAAAGTACTGATGAACAATTAACTATATCATTAATATAAATTAAAAATAATAAAGGCCCCAATGTAGATCCTTGAGGAACTCCACATGTCATCGTTAAAGTGCTAGATTGTACGTTATCTATTTGTACAAATTGAAGTCTATTTGTTAAGTAGCTGTTAAACCATTCAAGTGAATGACCACGTATTCCATATTTAAATAATTTAGCTAATAATATTTCATGGTTGACCGTATCGAAAGCTTTAGAAAAGTCAATGAACACCCCGCATGTAATAAGATTATTATCAATGGAAGTTTTCAGGTTCTCAGTTATTTCTAAAATAGCTTGTTCCATTGAGTGTCCTTTTCTAAAGCCGAACTGATACTTGTTGAGTATGTTATATTTCTCTAAAAAAGTCATAAGCTGATCATACACAATTCGCTCAAGCGTTTTACTAAAGGGTGATAGCAAAGCTATTGGCCTATAATTATTTGGGTCTGTCGTTATCCCACTCTTATAGACTGGCGTTACTCTAGATATTTTGAAAGCATTGGGAAAAATTCCAGTAGAAATGGATCGGTTAAAAATATGAGCAAAAGGCACTGATAGAGCACTACTAGCCAGCTTTATCATTTTGTTAGGAATATCTGGAGAAGACTTATTCACATTTAGTTCCAAGAAAAGTTGACAAATGTATTCCTCAGAGACAGGTGACATGCAAAAACTTGAAATTGGTGAGTTAGTTACGTATTTGGTGGGATCATCATTAGAATTTGGGATTGAATTAGCCAATTTGGGACCCACATTTACAAAATGCTGATTAAATTGCTCAGCAATGTTGAACTGATTAATATATGTTTTTTCATTTCTAACAATTCTAGTTGGACAAGTATGACCTTTATTTTTCCTATTAATCAATGTGCCTATCAATTTCCAAGTGCTTTTTAGATTGTTTTTACATTGATGGAACTGCTGATTATAATATTCATTTTTAGTTTTAGTTTTTAATTTATTCAATACATTGGAATAGGACTTATATATAGAAACTCTCAATGGATCTCTACTTAAAAAGTGTGAGCGGTAAAGCTTTTGTTTTACTTTAATAGATTTAATGAGACCTTTTGAAAGCCAAGGTTTTGATAATTGTTTCATCCTATTACGCGAGGCTTGTTTAGTTGGAGCATGCCTCTCAATTATTTGAGTAATGGTGTTAATACATTCATTAGTCATTTCATGCAAGTTTTGATTGTTGTTAAATATTTCAGACCAATTTACTGTATTTAAATCATAGTCCCTTAGGTAAATAGTCTTTTTAATTCTACTGACTGATGTGTTATACAGAGAAAAGGTAGGTAGGTGATCAGATATGTCTACCAGAGCAATACCAGAGACAATGTTTTGAGTCGATGCATTAGTATAAATATGGTCGATTAATGTAGAGGAGTGTTCAGTGATGCGAGTAGGTTTTGTTATAATAGGAATAAAATTATCTAAGTAAAGCATATCTAAATATTCTTCTGTATGAGCATGTATACTGTATTTAAGGAAATCCACATTCATGTCCCCCAATATAAACACTTCATGTTTATTATTCTTTAATTGCTTAATTATGCTTTTTAATTCAGAAGTAAACTCTTGAAGATTAGCTGACGGATGTCGATAAATACATCCAACCATAATAGTAGATCTATTTCTGCCAGCGGCAATCTCAGACCAGCATGATTCAACAAGCGGCATAGAAAATTTTATATCAGGTCTATGTATACATTGCAAATCTTTGTTGATATATAAACCGGCACCACCAGCCATGGTTGGTGAGTCAGTATGAAAGAAGTTATAATTAAGTAAATCAATATTAACCACATTATTATGGTTTAATTTAGTTTCCATTATAGCTAGGATATCAGGCCTGCTATCAAGAGTTTAGAGGAAATCATTCAATATAGATACGTTTTTAGGGAGACTTCTGACATTAAAGTGAAATAATGATATACTATCATGACCTGAGTTATTTAAAAGCTGATTAAGTTTAGTCATAGAGTAATAATTTGAATTAGGGGTATTTAACATAAGGTCTGAATCATTTTCATCAAATTTGTCAGGATTTTGTAGGACATTATATATATCAGAATCACTGCTAAAGACAACATGCCAATTACCAGTGAGCTAGAGCATTAAATTCAGTATCTGATAGGTAATAAAATGGTAAATTAGATAACTCACAGTCTTGTTCATCCATCGCTTCACATACAGTTTGTGTCTAACAATAATCACGAATTATTGCTTAGTCCTTAGAAATAAACCTTTGAAACTCTTCTTCTGTTGTAAAGCTGTTAACTGGCGACGATTCTGTTTGGCGAAGGAGAATTTTCCCGTTTGCAGTCCATATAAATTTATAGTTATGCTGTCTACGATAGTCGTGGATTTTTCCAAAGAGACGCTTTCTGTAAGCCGTCAAAGATTCATTGATGAATATTTTTGTGGGTTGAGAAATACTCTTGCCAATTTCTGCATTTACTGAGGGCAGGCAATCTGTCAGTTTTCCATTTAAAACTTTCCTCTTCTTATAAATTTCTTCTCGTATGTCGCGGCGTACGAACTTGACAATGATGCGGTCTTGAATTTTCCTCGTGGGGGGAAGTCTATGCGCCGTAGATACACTGTAAAATCAAAACAGTTAAATTAACCATTATTATTTGTCATGACCAAAATAAATATGTTGTTTTAACCTAAAATAAACTGGTTAAAATCATTAACCAATTTTTTTTTGTTATATTAACCGATAAAACAACAGTTGTTTCAACTTTTTTACCAGGTTATAGTGAAAACCTATTTTACCCCGTTAAAACAACTTGTGTTAATGGTTGTACTGCAGTGGATTCAACCATTTAGTAATTAGTTGTGATTATAGTAAATTCTCGTTACCTATACAAAAGGTTTCTTCAACCAAAAAAGGGGGTCATTTTATTCAACACTTTATCGTTATTACCGTATTATTTTTAATACATAAACCAAGTGCTCTATAGTAACAGACACTACAGTGTATATGCCCTCTAGACGTCCGGTGTAAAACGTGGAACCACAAACAAAGCGCCATTTCGCTGAGACGATCCATAAGGTTTCACAGTATGCATGGGCATGTAATTTGGCATCGTGTTCGGACGCAGTAGCACTTGTTCAGGTCTGATTTCTCTTCGTACTTCATAAACATGGTAGTGCCTGTTATGCTCAATGGTCTTGAACTTTGTAACAAGAAAGTAAATGCATTTATCTGCAAATACTATAATCTTATGTATGGATCCAAACTCTGGCAAATCTTCATCCATGTTAATAATCAAAACATCATTCACTTTGTATTTTATTCCATCAATTATTACATTGGTAGACCTGCAGAGTTTAAAGAAGAAAGGTAATCGTGTCAATGCATGATTGAATAATTGTTTATGGTAAGCACCAAAGATTTAGGGTAATACGGGCCAAAATGAGACGGTGGGGCTAAATGACACAGTTATGCATATCATTATTCCTTGGCGTATTACCGCCCTCCTTTGTTCACAAGCATTGCAGGCTCACAAGTAAACTTTTTAACTTTTCTCGAAGTGAAATAACGTGTTTGAGAGTTATGGCCGTTTTATAGCGAAAAAGTATGTTACTATTCAGCACATTTCTATAGTTTTTTACTCTGTCTAAAACGCCGCAGCCAAGGAATAAGCCCTATTTGTTTTGTATGCCAACGTTAGAATAGAATTGAAAAAAATGTTGAACTCACTCATACAAGATACTTGTGTAATGTATCTCCACCTCTTGCTCAAGCGATAAATCGAAATAATCAGTATCTCCAGCTGCTACCGTTTGTCCAGAGCCTAATATGAAAGATAAATACTACAATCAGTGCCATTTGGAATGTGATCGTTGCTTCGATGCATGAAGACAGAACGCAGGGGCGAAGGAAGCACATTTAAGTTGGAGGGACCATTAACTTCTAGGGCACTTGCCTGGTGAAAAGGGCATTTGACATTGACACGTATTATTGTATACTGTTAAAATAAACTATGCCTTACATGTAAATGACACATAGAAACCAGTTTCAGAGTATTTACAGCTCATTTAAAAAACGTTTCCACAAAGAAAAAGGACACTTTACCTCAAAGGAAAAGGGCACTTTTTGTGTGATTTTAAAGTTGGGGGGGGGGGGGGGCTTGGCCCCCTTGGTTCCTACGCCCCTGACAAAACGTGATTGGCTAACTAATGTGACATACAGTAGAGTAATCTTGACGTAATATAAAAACCTGACGTAATATAATGATAATTACCGATTTCCACAGGTTTACAAAGAAATTCTTCATTGTTATTGCCTGTTGGGCTCACTTTTAAACACTGAAGACGCTGGTATCTTTCAGCAAGTGTGTAGGCAACATTGGTAAAATTTCCCATAACACCTGCTAGTTGCTTGAAATATCTATGTTTAGCCTCATATCTCATGCACCATGATCGCACCATTGGTCCCAGCCTACATTGTAAAATAGACACACAATGAGTGCATACGTCGCTAACTTGGATATAGTGGATACATTAGGTAATATTAGTGTTATTTTAGGGGTTTGTTACCACGTGTTTGGTTATCAATGCAATGTAAAACAGTGTTAAGGTTGGGCTTGCTTATCGCCGGGTCATAGAAACATTCGCCTGCAGTTTGTCGGTATTCGTAAATCCTGTGGACAAACCCAATCAACCATATACATTGCGCGCCATGACAATAAGCCGCTGACTGCAATAGTCTGGTCAGCGGCATAAGAACAGATAATATATGTCAGAAATATGGTAGCAACTGTTTTTTTATATACCGGTACCTCGAGGTCTCCAGATCTAGCCTGGACAGCATTTTTCTTTTTTAACTCAAGGATTTTCCACGCATCATTGACATTGTACGCTTTATAATTTCTCAATAATAAAACTCTGACTTACTGGAGGATTTGGGTTGGAAAGTGAATCTTGTAGTGCATTTTTGGTGTTACCGATCTTCCTGGATATAAGTTGATGAAAATTTCATGGTGTTCTTCAATTAAACCTTGCAGGATCCCAACACTCTCCTCACTAGCAATTGGTGAGAAAACAATGTCGACAATTTCCAGGAGCATAATGAACAACTGCCATCTTTCATCATCATCTGGTATACGATTTCCAACTATTAAAGGCAGAAATTTACCCAGGCACCACATCTGAGCAGCTGCAAAATATAACATAGGATATATTTAATATTGCAAGTTAGTAGTACCTGGATTAAAACAAAACATTTTGTCAGTCTAATTGAATTAGCATGTATGTGCAGTTTCATGATTGCCATCTGTCAGGCCTAGGACACAGGTGATTAGTTTACACGCTTTAGCAAGGTGGAAATAATAAGGGACACATAATAGAAAAACAATAAAAGACTGATTCTTCATAGTCTTAGTGTTGGTATGATGTGATACTCATAAATGGTGATACCTACTGTACACTGTAACTGGTTGTTAGATATACTGTGTGCAGTAAGGATGACCAGTAACTGCTGTTAAATACTGCATATTATATATTGTAGTAGTACGGAACCTTTCTGCTTGACACTGTTGGAGTTATTGTTGAGAGTAAGTGAGGAAATTTGTGATGGCTGGTTCTTGTCGTTGTAGTATCCATAGTCGAAATCCTTTATCCTGTCATTCAACTCTTTTAGAGTAAAATAAGAATCTTCGTTGATAAATATTTTGAGCATTTCTTTACACTCGTACTGCAACACACCCTCTAGAATGTCGTGCATGGAGTCGGCAGGAAGCACACCGATTACATGGAAGTAATGTGAGTTGCAAAGTGACGATCTTCTGTTGATTCCATAGATGATCCCACTACCTGGTTCTCTTTCAACGATATCACACTGGTAGTCATGACCAACCTTTGTCCTCAGATGAAACAAAATCTCTCTGAACTGCATTTAAATAAAACATTAACAATGAGCACTATCAGTCAACTTAGGAATTCAAAATATTTTTTTCCCACATACTGCAGTACATTATTATTACCTGCAGTGAAACTCTCAAAATGATAGATGTGAAAAAGTCATGCATTGAATAAAAAAAGGCGGGACAATAAAAAGGCAATATCAGATGTTGTAACCCTCTATAACTTGTTTTCATTGGTTACCAGCAATTGAGCTATCTGAAAACTTTGTTCCGACTTACTTTATAGTGTATTGTACCTGTAGGTGGTGTATTGCCATGGTTAAATATTACAATTTTCTCGCAGTAGTACAGTATGTTTTGGTAATCACAGCAGCAACAATTGTGCAAGTTACTTAATCCAAGCAATTAACAGTTCTCTCCTTACAGTTATAACACAGTTCTCTCCTTACAGTTATAACAGTACAACACACGAGTAAGGGTATATCCACTCATACAGTACATGTGGATGTGCCCTTACTTGTATGCAGAACCATAGTGCTTTAAAATTTAAACTATTTCTTTGCTTCAAAGGGTGTGAAAAACGTTTGACTACTGTACCCCTCAAAATAACTAAAAACAGAGAAATTGCTCATGGCCTTTTCAAAACCTGTTTTACGACTGGTGCAGTGACACCTCAGGTACACTTTAAAGATTTTTCCTCAAACTACTGTATACTCACTTTTGTTTGAATATCAGGTATCGAACCCATACAATGCCGACATCTGTGCCTTGCATTTGCACCCTCTTTGAAACCACCAATTAGTTGAGAACCAAGGTTGTCACCGCAAACAAATGCAATAGTCCCTCTAAGTGTTTGACAAGTACCATTTATCTGGAACTGGTAACCTTCATCCTAAAAAAATGTCCAATTTTAAACCCAGTCAGCAATTTCCCTTTCCGGTGATGGGTAAAATTACTTGCCATTACAGAACACAAAAATAAGGTACATAATTTCCCACATAAAGGTTAGCTTAAATTCACAAACAATGAAATAGCATTAATTAAATCATCACAAAAACAAACTGCTCCACAAAGGATGTAGTACCAAATTATGGGATCTCAGCTGCAGATCATTTGTGGCATTCTCTAATAATTTGCATACTTCTGTTATTTTTTGTTACTTTCTAGTTCGTTTTTTTGTAAACCTTGGTTGTTATATATGTATTAATAATGATGTACACACTGTACCCGTTCTAAACACTTGAGATCGTCCAGGAATGGTTCCAAAATAGCATCAATACCATGTTTCTTGATGACTGGACATGTTGCAATTGATAATAACTGTATTGCATCCAGTTGTGATCGATGTGTTGGATGAATATTTCCTAAAGTGTAGTAAATTACACCTGAAATGTCATTGAAGAAGAAATTAAAAATCAGGCTGCAAAATGTGTGATGCAGTTTAGCTATTAATTAAATATATTGTACAATTAATAACTATAACATTGTTGATTAGTCTAGGGCAAGCAAAATGCATAATGCATGAGTCAATTCCAGGAGTAACCATCCCCCCCCCCCCGGGAACACACCCGGGAATTTGATTAGATTGGTTATGACAGTGTAAATGCCCGGGTGCCGGGACACAACTTGAAGACTAATGCACGGCCCCAGGGCAAGCTGAGAGTGGAAAATGCCCCACCCCGGGGACGATTTTATAGTCGATTTCACGAAACTTTGACCACAAATGTTCCGAATTTCGTTGCGAAGTTCGCAAGTTCGTTGTGAAGTTCGGAAGCTCATATTGGAATTCACAAGCCAATTTGTAAACAAAGTCCCTGATTGATCCGTGAAGTAAAATAAGCCAATCAAATGCGTAGTTTACGAACTGGTTTGTGAATCTCATTATGAACTTTTGAACTTCGCAACAATCTTGTGAACTTCGCAACGAAGTTCGGAAATTTTGTGGTCAAAGTTTCGTGAAATCGACTGTAAACGTTAATTAAACTTTTAAAG